AGAGAGAGAGAGAGAGAATTTTTAATATTTATTTTTAGTTCTCGGCAGACACAACATCTTTGTTGGTATGTGGTGCTGAGGATCGAACCCGGGCCGCACGCATGCCAGGCGAGCGCGCTACCGCTGAGCCACATCCCCAGCCCACCCGGCAGTTTTTGAGGGTTAAAAAAAATAATAATAATCTTGGTAGGATTCAGAGAAATATACTATGGCAAAAATTCAAGACACTGTACTGGAATCCCCCCCAAATTTATACTAAAACCTCTATTTGGGAATATATCTAGAATCACCTAATATTTACTTCTTTTATTTATTATTCTCTTACTCTTTTAAGTATACATACAGTTTCAAATACATCCACTTTGAAAATTCAGCATCTTCTAATTCAAAGTAATGCTACTCACTTTTTTAAAAGAGATCAGTATCAAGGTGACTCAAGTACTACATTTTAAAGATAAATAGCCATACTATAATTGCCTTCAATCTACAAACAAATTATTAACAACATTTCAGTGTCGACCTATTCTGTTATAATTCTATTTTAATTCACAAATCCTGAAATACTTACCCTCTGCCCCAACTGACAAGAACTGCCAAAGTCAACAATCTTGATTGCACTGCGTTTGGGGTTACAAAGAAGGATATTCTCAGGTTTTAGGTCACAGTGAATGATACTAAGTTCTGGAGTCGCAAGGAAAAGCAGTGCAGTGCACATCTGTTGCGCAAATTTTCTTGTGAGGTTCAAAGACACCCCTCGGAAATTGGTGTTCCTTAACAAGTCATAGAGGTTGTAGGACAGCATTTCAAAAACTAAACAGAGATGGTTCCGAAACATAAAGTGGCGTTTCAAATGCACTGAAAGAGAAAAAAAGCTTAATTTTCAACTATACATATCCATAAAATGAAAGTAACATATACATACATGTACTCTCAACAACACATGACATCACAGTATCAAAATGCAAAGCAAAAACCAGGAAGAGTTTTGGAGATCACCATTCTACATGAACAGTACATTTTACAGTTAAGAAAGATTATCTAAATTGATTTTCTGCTAAAAAGGTATAATGTCTATAAATAAATGATATATGGTAAAAAGTATCACCAAAGTGCCCTGTTTAAAAAAAATTAAACAGAAGAGTTATCATGATTTATAAAGGAAAGTACTTTTTAGTTTCTGGAAGCTCCACCTCAGACCTTTCAACCCTTTGTAGTCTCTTCTTTCGACAATGCTATACTTGGCATCTGATACATAAATTGGCTTTGATAAATAAATACAAAATCTGTGTTTGCTAGTAAGTTTCATAATAACTGTGAAAGTACTTAGTACTTAAAGCAAGAGTTTAAAAATCATGCTTTTGTAAGGTATTGGGAAGTCCATAATCAAGTCATTTGATTATGTTGATGAAATTGATAAAAGGGAAATCTCATGCAAGACTAGAAGGTTTGGAAAAATACCATAATAAAGCTCAGCCACAAGAAGAAAGTATGAGCAGGACTATGACTGGGGAAACGGTACAGAACACGTAACTTGAAATCGATTAGGTGACCATTAAGAAGGCTTAATAATCACTAAAATGCTTGAAAGATGGTGCTTAGGTCTTAACACTTTACTTCACATCAGATGAGATTAGAATATTCAATATAAAAAGGTGCTGCCTTTAGCTATAAACATTCTTACATGTACCACACCACACATGTTACTCAAATGGATGACAAGGCTACCTTCACTTTGGTCTTATATTATCACCAAAGCAGGTTTCTCTACAAATTTATCCTGAATAACTAACTGTCAGTATTCAATATCTGGTCACTACACAGACATTGTGTTTTCCTGGAGGTAGCCCTAGGCTGCATGCCTTCCAACAATGTGCATCAGTATTGCTTTTGATCTAAAACTGGGTTAAGTAACAGTGAAACTTCTACATAGTTTTCATGAGTTTATAGCACTCTCTGACACTGCGAACACACAAAAAAAAGAATCCTTAAAAGATTACATAAAAAGGTGTAACATCTACTTGGTCATTATGGTTCACGGGTCTGAAACTACAAACAACTCCATGACACTTCACAGACATGGCCAATGCATGAATTTTTAATCTCAGGTTAAGCAGTAGCTACAAAAGGAATACAAAAGATAACTGATGTCAGAATTCCAATGTGATTACAAAAATCCCTTTAAGAAACTCTGCAATTAGAATGTTCCTCCAATAAGAGATCTACTCACTTCCACTTGACCTCCCAATTCATAACTCAATTACTTAGTACCTACAATGTGCTAAGCGCTAAAAACACTGTCAAGAAAAGTTCAAACTATTTTTCCAGCTTTTTAAGCTGGTTTTGTAAGAGAATGGAGGGTTGGCAAGACTTTTTTCTAGATCCAAATTAAATTTTCTCTTAATTAGACAATGGGAGGTACCAAATAACCCAAATAAGAAGTTATGCTATTTAAGGGAGAGAGAGGTAGGGAAAGAAAAAAAAGGTTTTGTTGTACTATTACATAGTATGTGTATTTCAAAATAATTACATGGATTTTGAATGTTTTCACCACAAATAAGTGATAAATGTGCAGATATGTTTACTCTGATTTGAACACTACATAATGTATACATTTATCAAAACATCACATAAAGGTACATAATTTTTAGGTGCCAGTTAAAAATTAAAATTATGCTATATGCAGATATTTTCTTAAAGTTCAAAGATTTAAAATACTTCCTCATCAGAATAAATTATATTCAATCATCTTAAAATTAAATCATATTATGAAAAAGCAACACAACTTTCAGACACTTTAAATACAGATACCTCTATTTAAAGTTCTTTTTATTATTGTTTTCCAATACAGAACCTCATGATTTTTTTTTTTGAGATCCTTTGCATTTGCCATCTTCTTTTATAATCATCATCATCATCATCCTTACCCAAAAGTGCATTTACAATAACTAATATATTTATTAGTTATTAAAGTCAGTTTATTCAAAACAAAAGGAGRGAGGAGCAGTGGGCACACCTATAATCCCAGCAGCTCAGGAGGCTGAGGCCTTTTATTAAAATTAAAATATAATAATAATAAAAAAAGGTTATAGTTATAGTGGTAAAGCACTCTTGGGTTCAATCCCTGGTACCACCACCACCACAACAAAAGGACAGCCCTTATAAGGTACCTAACGTGTTGAGTGGTCACTCTAGACCAGCCATGTTTTCTTTCAATAACGCAGAATTAAAATGTTACAGTTAATAGTACCAACATTTTTTTCTGCTATTTAAGCAAACATTCAAAATACAATCCTTGAGAGTTAAGGAGGAAGAAGGGATGAGGTATCAGAGACCATTTTATTTTAGATAACATCATATATCTGCAAAGGAACCAAGGAAGAAGAAAAAAGTGCATGCTCATATTTTTCTTTTTACGAAAGTGAAGAGAGATATTTCATAAATGAAATGAAATGACCATAACTATCTGAGGCCTTTGCCAGTAACCAGCCATTGTTTATTTTTACCATTCTGGRAGAACTACAGAATCATAACACATTCTCATGCCTTTTCTTAATGGTTCCAATTTTAAATGCAGTTTTAGACATTGCATTTTTCACTTACAATACAGTGCAATGTTATTTCCCTTTCCTACACCCAAGTATTGACAATGCCCAGAAATTAAATTCAAAACTGCCACAGAATTTGCTACAAATTTGAGTCCTTCAATTCTTTCCTTTGTCAATGCCCCTCCACGTGGTGCCAATTTTAAACAGTTTTATTTAAAACACTATAAGTGGGGAGGGGGGATAGTAGGGGTTAGGATAGGTAGCAGATTAAGACAGTCACTAATATGCCATTATGTAAAAATGTGAGTATGTAACAGATGTGATTCTGCTATCTGTATTTGGGGTAGAAATGGGAGTTCAAAACCCAATAGAGTCAAATGTATGAAAGATGATTTATCAAGAGCTCTGTAATGTTTGGAACAATCAATAAAAAAAAAATTTAAAAAAAATAAAAATAAAACACTATAAGTACTATTCTATATCTATAATTTAAATGCTCTACCATCTTCCGTATAGGACTGTCATAATTATTAGAGATGACAGAAGAAAATAATAAGGAATGTGACAGGAGTTTAGTAAGTGGCTACTACCTCTTTTGTGCTATAGTAAGTACAACAGATTCTAATGCTGACAAACTGACAAAGTGCCTGAGACCTTGGTCCAGACACTCCAAAAAAGGTTCTACAACAACTAACAAACGGCTTGCATCTAGTTTCTGAGCTAGATTAGAACTACTAGGATGACTGTGGATGAACATTCACTATCAATGCAAAAAAAAAAAAAAAAAAGATATAAGTTGTAATTTTAAAAAAAGGTCCTATTCTCATTGTAATGTCTGGAGTGCACTACTCCCAAAGATTTCAAATTAAGAAACAGATTTATGCTCTCCAAATGAAAGAAAAAATTTTGATCACTTTAAAATAAAAATCAACATGTTCTGATACAAAAATAACCATTGATTCAATTTTYTGGCCTACAGTAGGAACACTGCATGATTGCCTATTTGTTTACCTATGTAGTATTTCATTTCTGTGTCATGCTTGTTCATGAGCTCAAGAAGTCGCACTTCTATCTGGGCTTGATTTAGAAAAGCTTTCTTGTTCTTTATTATTTTAATGGCAACCCATTCTTGCTCTACCCGATCATATGCCTTTACAACCTAAAAGAGAAGAAAGGTAAGTAATTATTTGCATTAATGTCAACAATTTCACAACAGTTTACATTTTCCCCCAATTGCAAACCTACTGAATTCTCATTTAACTGTATATTTTTTGACCTTCTGAATTAGAAAAGATCCTCTTTCAATTCAGTAGTTATAAAAGTTACTCTTTCTCAAAGACTGTAACTTTAAGTCCATCTTTTGAACTAAATTTGAATTTTTATATCCTTTTAATATTTCTATATATCTACAAAATGGATAACTTTCTTAACAAAATTAGACTTAACTTTTTTTCCTTCTTCAGAAATAAAATTGAGAATATTGACAAATGCTTTGGCTTTTTTTTTTTAACCTCTTTTACTGAAAACTATTTCTTCTTACTATAAAACAATTCACCTCACCATTCTTTGAATGAGAACAACTTGATTTAAATCCCAAGAATATAAATAAAATATTTTAAAGTTCTAATGCATCTCAGAGAACAGATAACTTTCTAACTTTATTCTGATACACAAAAACAAAGGTTTATAAAATAATTAATTTATGCTAAGAAAAAAACACAAATTACCAGAGAAGTTCCACCATATGCTAAAAGTTCATACATTCAAAAAGTATGGGGAATGAGATAGAACTCCAAATGATCTCAATGTGAAGACTGAGAACCAGTGATCAGAGATAGGCTACAAGATCCAAATTGGTTAAGGCTAAATATATTGTAAAACTAAATTATAAATCAGATTTGGAAAGGAATAAACAGTATCTTATCTCTGTTTTCACCCAATTTTAAAAGATACTATCTGTTGTCTTTTTGATCATATACTATCTTTGTAAACATGTGATCAAGTAGTATGATAATCTTCTACCTCCCTGAATATACTGACTGCGACAAAAATGGTGTAGTTCAGTGTTCAGATCCCTGACAGTCTCAAAGACAAAGGCCAATCTCAGGGGGCCAAGTACGTAATGAATTGACAAATAATTAACTGGTTAAAACTAAAGCAGTAGTTTTCAATCCTGAATTACACATTTAATGGGGAGTTTTAAAAAAATATTGATGCCCAGAATTTGGCTCAATTCTGATTTTAACATCAATCCTTTCTTAAAAGCTCCATCAGAAATTTCAATGTGCAATAGGACTCAAAACCACCATCTAAAGAAATAGCAAGACCCTGAATTTGACAAGGACCTGGCAGAAATTTTAGAGAAAGTATGGCTAAGTCAATATGGAAGACAGTAATTATTCTGACGAGTGATGAGTCTTGAACATAAACACTGCATATCTCTGCCTGAGAAATATCAGGATGATGGAGTCTGAGGTCAAACAGGCCCATATTTTCAGATTTACTATGCCTACCTACTCTGAGGAGCTAGCGGATAAGCAAATTGAGGTGAAGGGGAGGAGCAAAWCATATGCGCTGAAAGAATGAATAGGGACAACTAAGTTTAGAGAATATCTATATGCCCACAAATTTCACAGTGGATATCACAAAGTTAGAAAAATGTCTTATTGAGAGCAACTGCTGAAATGTTGGTGCCCTTTTCAAAGTAGAGGGCGCGATCTCTACAACTATACGGTGATTATAGTTCTGGCTAACAGCTGGGCCTCAAGAATGCCTTTCTTTCAGGGACTGCGAAAGAAGCAAAAGCTGCTTCCAACAAAGCAGGATTGCTTGCATAAAGACAGGCCCCCAAAACACTGAGCCCAACTCAGAAGAAAGAGAGTTTATAAATCAAGGAAAAGTTCCTTCACATTATGGGAAGGAGCACATACACTGTACATGTGTCATCAGAACCTGGTGAGCCACACTGGAGATACAGAAGGCTTTGAACATGCTTATTCATTTTTCCTTATATGTGTAAACAGTTTTTTTTTGGGGGGGGGGTTACACTTGTGCCTGTTAATGGCTTACAGTATACTTTTGTCCATGGAATGGTTACATTGTATAGAATTTTYCCCCTCAGGCTAAAAAGGAGAATATAATTTGCTCTCAGGGCAGGAACAGAGAAGTAAGCACACACATATTCCATAATTTAAAACACATACACACGCACAATTCAAGAAGTCTTTAATTTAAACTCTCMGTCTAGCCTTGTCAGTGAAAAGTCAGAAGTAGCTGAATCTCAGGTTAATATTTAACTCACCATGCAAGGACTATACCTCAAACAAAACAGCACTATGACTCAGAGAACCAAGAGGATTTACTAAGTGAAGAGTAGCCAGGGAAACGTAGAAAGTTTTATACAAGGAGGAGGAGGAGGATGGGAATGAGCTCTTGAATCTGGATGCAAGCTTTTAGAGTTTTGTGCTGGGTGTTCAACTAAGAAGGGGAGACTTATAGGAGAAAAGAACAGGTTGGGAATAAAAAGGAAAAACACAGGTCCCCAGGAACTACCCCAATCAGAGCATGGGTAATGCTGGTGCCCTAAGGACTAGAAAAGGACATCTTGAAGCTTATCGCCCACTCAGAGGCCTAATACAATTAGGAAATGAGGTGGGAGGAAAACCCAGAGCACAACATGAGCCTCCAGAAAAGGGAAGGTGCCTGCTACTTCTTGAAAATGGTAGTTCTTTTCTCCTTGAAGAAATTAAAACAGACAGAAATGCAAACATCTCTAATACACATAATGAACAATCCACAGACTAAATAAGGCCCATACAAAAGAGGTAATATACTATTAGTTTTTTTAAAAAATATCTCTTAGCTTTTAAAATTAACCACTTAGTCATTAGTTTAAAAAAAATAGTAGCCAAAGATATGAAGTTAAAATAAAAAATAAAATAAAAAATCCTAATGGAGGATGAAGTTTTCTTGTCTTTGGAGATCTATGATCATCTAGATACTCAGATATCCATTATTAAAATCTATTTACAAATATTTTAAAAGTGTGCTTTTGAGGAAAGGGTGAAATAGTATAATTCACAAATAATTTCCAATTAATGAAATTCAGTATTTTTCATTCAATTACCTGTCCAAAGGAACCTTTGCCTATCAAGGAGTCAATTTCGTAACGATCCATCCACTTTTCTCCGTTTTTTACAATATAATCATAGTTGTCATCATCATAACCATCATTGTAAACCTTCCGCTCCTTCTTATGACTGGAATCGTCTCCCTGACCCTGTTGGTGTCTCCGCTTCTTTTTTGCATAGTAAACCTGAAATGAGAATAAACAGTGTTATGACAAACCTATCAGGAAATTGATGAATTTTTTTCTTTATAACATAAAAAATAAAGAATTTTCTGCAGCTGACATTTGAATTAGAAAATAATGTTGATGCAACCAATGGAAAAATGCCTACAGTGAAATTTACTATATAGTTGGGCTGTTGGTATATTTTATAAATAGGAGATGTTAAATGATTAGTCCAGAGTATCCTATTCAAGAAGAATATAAATATTTATTTAATAAATTAGGGTAAAACTTATATAAAATGAGATGGCACTGATCTTAAAAATATAGTATGAGGAATTTTGACAAATACATACACTGATATAAACAACAAATGCCAAATGAAATAAATAAGTTTCATCTTCTTCAAGTTCAAATTCCCTTATATGTCCAAGTCAATGCCAACTTTATATTTTATGTTCCAGGCAAAAAAAGACTAAAAAATGGAAGTATAAATGCAGATGAAGTGATGTTTTACTAAAATCGCCCAGTTTTTAATCTGATGATAATCTAATAATTATTGAAAAACAGCTAACCCACCCAACCCTCACTTCCCACTAAATTCCTAAACATATAGTTAATCACAGGCTAAGTTATTTTTCTTAACACCTATATTATCTTATAATATATTATATTATCTTATAATATAGTTTCCAAAGATTGATAAAAATAAGATAAACAGTCCAAGTAATTGGTAACTAACTTTGAAGAAATTATAAATTGCATTTCATAGAACAGATGAAAAAGTCTAGTTTACAAGGTGACATTTAAAAACAAGTTTCAACAAAGCTACAATAAAGAACAGTTAAACTATAATTTTATTAACAACTTATCAGAAAGAAACAAACTGGCTATCAACACACTGTTACAAACCATTTATGAGATATTTTCAGATAATCACAAGCTAGTACAGTCCATCCTTTATAATACATAAACATGTACAAAATCTAAGAACTGTTCCTCACTGAGTTAATTCTAAATTTGTCTGACCACAATGTCATAGTAATATAATAATACTGGCAATAAACAGGACCAAATTGCTATAAATTTTGCATATTTAAAAATACAAATATTTGTAGTTAAGTGGCTCTAAAATGGGAGGGGCATAAGTCTTTAATCAGAAAGGATGCAGGGTTTTCCATTAAAAGAGGAAAGAAAGCATGGGCTCCTCTTCTCCAGAAAAGATCACTTAATAATTGATTATAGATTGAGAATTAAGGCCAAAAGCAAATTAACAATCAAGTCAAAAAAGGGCCAACACACCAGAAAAATAATTTTTAGTGGCAAAAAGCCAAGTTGTAAAACAAGTAAATTCAAAGTACTGTTTATGTTTTTAATACTATTTACTTCTGCCAGGAAAAGCTTTTGGTTGTCTTACCACAGAAAGATACAGATAAAAGAATACACATAAAAACCTAAAGACAATAAAATCACAGAGATATAGATAGATCAAATAAAGTACACCAAATGCCTGTAACTGGGGGTTAAATATATCTCAGAGCTTCTCAACACCAAGAGCAAAAGCTACAGATAAATCAAAATTTATGCAAAAGTCAAATATATGTCTATTTTTATACAATCAGTATTCACCTTCTTTGTTTTGGGAGAGAGTTATTATAGAAAAACTCAACATATTAAATGCAATTTTGAAAAAGGGGAAGTGATCCACAACTTTCTTTGTTGTTCGCAGTCCTTGTTAGTATCTTTTCTTTTACATAATTGTAATTATATATCTATAAATCATTCACTTACTGTTCTTCATAAAAATTATAACATGACAACCACTGGGAATAAAACAAGTTTAGGATATTTAAACAAGMACAAAATAACTTTCTTCCCTTGATCTATTGCAAGACAGATGCTAATATAACAAAAAAAAAATCAATGATCTTACCTCATTAATATGCTTATATGTTTTGATCAAGTCAACAGAAAGTTTTCTCAGGGGAGCAGTTGCTGGATCACGGAAGGTTTGGGGCATCCGCCTCTGTAACATGACAATATCAGGCATCACCTTAAATAGAAAAGACTAGCACTTTAACTATTCTGCACTGGTGTAATTCCCTCTTCTGTAACCTGTATATCTGTTTCGAAAAAGATATCTACATTACAAGATTACACATTCTCTCTCAAAATTTCTCTTTCATCTGGAATACAATGAAGACACAACCACTGGAACAAATAAATTAAATAGAAGATGGAATGCCCAGCTGCCCAAGGTTTTAATGTATTCCCTACACTTAAATGGTGAATTATAGACATATCCCTGGATCCAGGAGAGACACAGGAATGCTGCTCAAGAGGGCTTCTCTAAAACAATGAGCCCAAAGCAAAATTTGTTCAGAATTATTCCTAAGATGAGCTGGTTTATAATTGGCTCGCAAAGACAAACCCAATCATTGGAGACAACCTATAGCTTCCAAGATATGATTTCAAGACCCTGGTGGTACCAAAAAGAATTGGTAGCAACRCCTCCCTGCCTCCAACTGTTGGCAAGTGCTCTAGAAGCCCAGCTCTAACCACCACCAGACCCTTTTCCCTGACAAGTACCTGCTCCAGAGCAAGGCTGAAATGTTCATTCATTTCCTTAACACAAGGAAATAAAATATGCCATCCAAATTAAATACCTCCCATTTTACCCTCACATTTCCTTTTCCCTTCACTCAATCCTAAACCATGGCTCCCTTCAGCATTCTCTAGGTTATAAGAAGTTCAACTTTGAGTTTCCTGCTAAAAATTTTCACTAAATTAGTGACAGGATAATGCAGGAGCATGGACCCTCTCTACACATATCCATGAGGGATGCAACTAGCACACCAATGCTACTAGACTACTCTTGAGCACCACTCACCCACCAAATGTCTTCCACAGAGCTTCTTGCAATCAACAAATCCTCAAAGCCAGTTAGTCAAATCAAGGTACCTATAGTCATTACCACTCGCTCATCCTTGTGTTCCTGACTTCTCTTATTGACATTTATGCCTGGGGAAATTTACTTGAGTCAAAAGCTCTAACAAAGCTCCTCTCAAAGGACATTCGAGTTAATCTGAGGGGCAACAGAAAATACATCATACTAAGGCCTCATAGAAACATCTGGAGTCTTGGTATACTTATTAATCTAACCCACACGAATGAAAACGAAGGAAAAGTTGTAACTATAGGTGAAACAAAAATTATCCCCACCCCTGTGGTCTGTAAAGTTGGAGTTACTACCCACTGACTGCATCTACTGAAGCGTATTTTCTCATAAACCAATATTAATAAGTTTCTTCTGCAGGTATACTCAAACTCTCAAATTGTTATCCAGATGGTAAATTTGCTGAATTACTGAATTAATAATTTCTCTCAAGACCTTCTTCCTTCTTAAGTTCCAAGTAAGGTGGGGTGGGGGGGAGGAATCTCAGTGGCTAAACTATTTGTCTGAAGTGATCATCAGAATTAACAAGTTCTGAATTAATTTTCAAAAAATAGATTGCTTTTTAAAAAATATAAACAGTAGTAGCTGGGCACATGATTCCATCCATGGTACAGTATTTGCCTAGCATACAAGGTCCTGGGTTCAATCCCCAGTACTGGGGGGAAAAAACACATATACACACACACACACACCACACAAATGTACATGCAGTAGATAAAACTAAATTCACATAGTAACATTCCTTGGGGGGCTTAATTTTCTAAATAGATAATATTGGTAATAAATATGTCAATTCTTTTTATGTGAATGAAAGCTATAAACAGTAATAAAAGAAGTTCCAAAGAACATAATTTTGTGTTTTTTTTTTTTTAATTTAAGTTCATGGACCCCCGCCGCCATGGAGGTAATCTAATCAGCAAACCTCTTCTTGAACTGCTATAGTGCAGCCTCAATGTGAAATTTCAAAAAGTATAAACCAGTGAAATGCTTCATTACCAGTAAAATTAACACTAGCACAAAGTATACTATTCACAAAGCAAACTAAATAACTTGATAGTAAAATAATAAATATAATACAGTATTTACAAAATACTGTTTTAACATGCATATTTTTACATGTCTGATATAATCTTCTCAACAATCTCATGAGAGTAAGTGCTATTGCCATGACCATTTTACAAATTAGAAACTTGAGATTCCAATGACATAAAGCCAGTTAAGAATATAGCCCAGGGTGAGGGGGTTGAAAAATACAGCTAGGAAGCTGGGTGTAGTGGTACCACCTATAATCCTAGGCTAAGGCAAGAGGATCACAGAATTGAGGCCAGAATCAGCAGCAATTTAGCAAGAACCTTATCAACTTTGCAAGATTATCTCAAAATAAAAAAATAAAATACAAAGGACAAGGGGTGTACCTCAGTGGTAAAGTATCCCTGGGTTCAATCCCCAGTAACAGTGGTGGTGGTGGTAGTAGTAGTACTACTAGGTTGAGAGCTGAGGTGGTCAATACCTAACTCAGGGTCTTAACACCAATAGTGGGCCAGGAGCTCTCTTGTCAATTTTAGGTCTTTTTTATACSCTTTTAGCTGAGACATTTTTAGGTTATTTTTGGGCAAAATAATTGTGGCATGCATGAAATAAGCATGAGCAATTATTAAAATGCATTAAAAAACCTTGCCTGTTCACAATTCCACTGGTTATTTCAAACATCTGAAAAAAGAATTAGTAACCACATCTAGGAATAATTATGCTCATTCAAAACACCAAAATGGTCAATCAAGAAAACTTAAAAGTATGGTACAGTCCAAGCTATCCAAGAGGCTCAGAAAAAAAGGAACTCAACTGTGAGTCCAACCTGAGTCAACATAGTGAGAACCCTTCTCAAGGGAATAAATAAAAAACTGGAAAAAAGAAAGTATAGTACATACATGTAGTCAAACACATAACTATGAGCTAATGATCAAATTTCTGCACTCAATATTGATATTCTGTGTGCTTCACTTCACAGACTATCAAWAACCTTTACGACCACCATTCAAACTCTGCCTATAAGGCCAAGTCAACAAGTTGCTTCTTAGTACCTTACTTTTCTTAACTACTTCTGGCAATAGAAGTTACTATTTTAGGAGCACTTGTATATAAAAAACAGAAGCCTTTCTGAAAACAAGCGCAAGCGCAAGCGCAAGCGCGCGTACACACACACACACACACACACACACACACACACACACACACAATTGGCCTCAGACTACAGCATATAATTCAGTGCTTCAAAAAGAACCTTGTACAGAGGTGCTCAAAATACACTGGAAGAACACATTGATTTTTTACTAAGTAACACTTCCTTTTCTTTCATTGCGGTTTCAGGTTAACCAAATTTTCTATTTTGCCATTAAGTACAAGTGAAGAATCAGAAAATAACTTTTCCAGACACACAGTTACACAGGTATACTAAGCCCTAAGGCCAGCCCTGCAGATCTGATGCCTTCTCCTAACTTCCTGTTTCTCATATCCACAGTGCCAAGAGAATGGAGAGGAATGCAGCAAGTGCTCCTCCCCACTTCCACAGCTGAAAGCAAGAAAATGGTATTCAAAGAACCCAAGAGCTTGCCTAGCTGTATGTGTTGCCCCTTTTGAAAGGGGAATAACCTGAAGAAAGGAAAGTGGGTGAAATGTCATAATACCGCCTCTCAGCTATCTGGCTCTGGGAGCTGGAAACATCTTAACCACAATGCTTGCCCTTTCCCTTCCTACAGATCACTCAGAAGAAGAAGTTTGCATCTCCTGCTTAAACTAATTCTAAGAGCTAAAACAACCATTACTGAAAAGATTATTTTCCCCTGAAAAGATTCCACAGTGCAAGATCTAGGACTTTAGTCAAAAAATTGTTTACTAGTGTAACAATACCTATTTTATTTACATTTACCTTGTATTTTCATATGCAATTCTGACTTTCTTCTATTTTTTAGAGCTGTTAATATAGCTAAATAGTACATATCACATATATCCAGGGTACCTGGCAAGTTTAAGAACTATGAAAGGTACTGTGAAAACCAGAACAATCTAATCAAACTCTAATACAGTCAATCATTATCTTTCACACTTACTTTTATTATATTCTCATTTCCTAAATTCATCTCAATAAAAACATTTTACATTTGTCTAACACATACTTATACAGGAAAGATTAACYACTAGAACCAAAAATCTTAAAAGCCAGTTCATTTCAATATACTATTTTTATAGTAAGTCTTATTTAAAAGATTCTGCCAGAATGATTACCAAACAATGGAAACCACATAATAAAGATGTATAAGTTTATAGCTAGAAGGCATTTTAGGGGGTACAATCTAAGATTTCCAATTTTACATTCAAGGAAGAGATCTGACAGGTCCATGGGATCTACTTTAAGCCCTACACCAAATCCTGGGCCAAGGCTTGAGCTCATGCCTTATGTCCTGTATTCCATGCCACATCAACACAACACTTCAGTTCTAAGATATCTTCTAATACAACTCCCTTCTTGGTTCAGGAATTTCTAGACTCTGGCAGAAATATCTGGCCAAGAATGATTACTTCAAAAGATAGTCTTTTTATGTCTTATCAATCTTTTTAATTCTTTCTGTAGTTGTAGATGAACAGCATGCCTTTATTTTATTTGTTTATTTTTATGTGGTGCTGAGGATCGAACCCAGTGCCTCACGCATGCTAGGCAAGCGCTCTGCCATTGAGCTACAGCCCCAGCTGTGTTATGAATCTTTAAAAAAACACAATTTAAAACAGAAAACCTAAGTAAAATATCTTTTATAAATGTTCTAAAGACAAACAAGATGATAGCTGCATATTAAAAATAATAGGTACTTTGCTAACAATACTTACTAATATAAAATAACATAACCATAAAAATACTCAACAGGAATTTTTTTCTAGCCCTCCATATATGGCAAGCATTAGATGTAAGAGAGCACTGTATCTAAGAAGAAAGAAGCCAGGGCTGGACCCAGGAATTTACTACAAATATACCTGAATAAGTCACAAATTGGGGTTTAGTCTCGTTAGCTAGAAAAGAGATCAAAAACAGCACCTGTTTTATGGGCTGCTTTTGAACAAGCAAAATAATTTTTCAAAACATACTGTTTCTTCAAAGTACAATAATATAAATGGACTATCTTGCCATTATTATTTATTGGTGTTCCATCATTTTCTTCTGTACACAATTGTAAACACTTCCTAAACTTACATTTTGATGAAGTGCTCCAATTCTCAAATGTGAAAATAACTTCTTAAGTCTTGCCACAATTCAACTTATTAACTATTTAACCATGAATGCTATTCACTCATATGTATTTTATCAATGTAATGCCAGCTAACTGCAGACAAAAATCTTACTATAATATATATAAGCACACCCCTTAATWATGATGAATATCTCTCATCTGAATATTAGAATGAATAGCGTTGTTCACATGCACATATTTTTTTTCTTGAATTTTAAGGAGTTTTTTTTTTTTTTTTAAATAAAACAAGTCCTCTAACTTTCCTGATATGGGAATCTTGCTTTCCTATAACTTTCTTTTAACTTCACTAACTTTCATAAGCTTCATTTTTGTCTAATATTCTTTAGAAGTAACTGTTCCACTCTATTCCAGAAGGAGAAAGTGGTATGTTTCTGGGTATCTTTTAACTAATTAAAATAAAAATAAAAATCATGAACTTTAAATACAAACTTCTTATCATCATTTTGTCAATCCAGATTTCCATGTATATATAAAACTGAAAACTAGTTAATTATTTTCCTAGTTAATATTCTAACACTTTTAAGGAATAAACTATAATTTCAACATCATTTCTGATACTTCATGAACTTACCTGGTTAGTTAGAGGTTGCTGAATCTGGTCAGAATATGATAAGGCAGAAACCTGTTGGTCACTTATGTTTGGCTGGCGACGGTCACTGTACTGATGTGAATGGGGCATCTGTCCAGCCATCTGAAGGCCAGCAGCATGGAATGAAAATGACGGTGCAAGCCGAACAGATGAAGGTTTGCATGCTGAAGTCTCTCCTCCTATGAAAAGATAAGTGAGGTTTAAAGGAAGTATTCATATCCTAATATTTATATCATTTGACATATCTGAAAGTTCTTTAATAAGGACTTCAGAATGTTCAATAATATTAAAAACCTTTATAACTACAACCAGGAGTATGTCACTTGACACAGTTATATGTTAAATGGTATAAAATATATATTAAGATGAGTATCTATAAATCAAATCTATAATGAGAAAAATCTAAAGAAAAGTTTTATATAAAGCAACTATAATAACCTTTAAAACTTACTTTCACTTATGAGGTTTTTATCAATTGAGAACCATAAGTTACAGGCTGAAATCTTGAGAGACGCTCTGCCAATGGATAGCTACTCACAAACTAACTCAAAAGAATACTGCTGAGATGCTGCTTTGCACCTGCTAGATATATAGCAAACAGTATCTCTGAAATCCCCCAACATAGATCAAAGATCTGTCCTAATGGTGCTCTCCAATGACACAGGTAATCAAAGGCTGATCATGCAAACAGGGTAACAAATCCCTTTCAATGAAGTCCTAAGAGAACCTACACATGGCAAACTCACCACAAAAGCAGAACAATCAATAACCATTCCACAGGTAAATAAGAATCATGATATCCATGGTAGATATGGAATATTAATACTTTTGGTCTGCAGAAGTATTGTAACTGGCTAAGGGAAAAGATTAGGGGGAGTGGGAAAAAAGGAGAAGGAATAAGAGGGAAAAAAGGGTAAGAAAGAAGAGTAAGAAAAAGAAAAGAGACTTTTCTTCCTTATGTCCAACCTAACTTGTAACTGAAGACTGCAGTCAAAAGTCAAGGCAAAAAAACTCTGAACAACAAACTCCAGATCCAAAATACTGTTTCTTCCTCAATGAACCACCTAACTGGCACCACACAACAGACCATACTGTCCAGCGCCAGAATACCCTTGAAGTCAATTATTATTTTAGAAACACCTAACAGCATCAGCCCAACCATGAAGAGCAGAGACTCTCAGCCAGGCTGTGGGATTTGAAATTCTGGCTCCACTATTCACTGACAGTATGACCTTGTACGTTTCATTTTTCCTGATAATATCTACCTGAAAAGGCTGTTGTGAAGGTTAAGTACAGCTCTGTTAATTAATAAATGACCAATATTATCTCTAACTACTATATAATCAAGTACACTAAATATACTGTAATGTACAATAAAGATGGCAGGCATGGTGCTGTTTTTCTTCAGTGTACATTGAATGCTGCTGAAYAGACTCTGCATACTGAAGAGAACAAAGCCCAATTCCCCCAAAATTTAAGTTTCTATTTTCTACTATAGTTAATAACACCACTTCCTATCCAGTTAACCAGAATCAAAACTCTGAGAATCATGGTTTTTTTTTTTTTCCTTTTCTCCTCCAATAGCCCACTCTCACGCAAATAGGCACTCAATCTTGCTGATTCCATTTTCTATAGGACACTCAAAAACCTCTCCTTTCCATTTCCATTACCACATAGCTCACTTAGGATTACCAACAGATTTCTTAACAGCTCATTCTATCTTGATCTACCCATTTGCAACTCTGTATTTCTTTAAAAATGGCTGGAATGATCTAAAATGCAAGGTTCAAGTCCCTCATTCCTATTTAATTTGAATTATCACCTGCCCTTGGCACTGCTTTCAGATCTTAACTTCAGTGTCTCTCCCCAGTATGGCATATTTTTAACTGATCAATACTATTTGTTTTTTTTTTTTTTAAAGAGAGAGAGAGAGAGTGAGAGAGAGAGAGAGAATTTTAATATTTATTTTTTTAGTTATCGGCGGACACAACGTCTTTGTTTGTGGTGCTGAGGATTGAACCCGGGCCACACGCATGCCAGGCGAGCGCAATACCGCTTGAGCCACATCCCCAGCCCGATCAATACTATTTGATTAAGTAAAAGCACTCTTTGATTAAGTATAAGAGATGGGATAACTTTTTTTWAAAAAAATTTCATTTTTCGTAATGAAAAATACACTCAAATCAATTCAATATGTGACGCAAACTTTGTTCCATTTAAAAAAATTTATCTAGGAATTTATCCTAAGAAAATAACAGATAATATCTTCAGGGTTGTTAAGCATAATTGTCACAGCAAAAAGAAAAACAAAAAGGAAATCTATTTGTAAAATAGTGTATGTGGGGAGCTTTAAATCTGTATGTTAAAAACAAAAAAAGCAGGTAAAAAATATAAATATATATTAAAAATCTCAGATTTTAATAGATATTTATTTATATATATATATAATATATATTATTATAGAATTGGGTTACTATAATAATATCTGCTTTATAGACAGGAAATCTAAGATCTAGAATGGTTAAGTAATCTGCCATTTACAGCTTTAATCTTTTTACTGTTTTTAAGAGCTCTGTCTTAAGGACCTCAGATTTTTAAAATATTATTTTTAGTTGTAGATGGACACATATCTTTATTTTTATTTGTTTATTTATTCATTTATTTATTTTAGTTGTAGATGGACTACTGATACAGGCATTCACAGTACCTTTATTTATTTTTATGTGGTCCTGAGGATTGAATCCAGTGCCTTACACGTGCAACGCACACACTCTACCACTGAACTACAACCCCAGCCATTTTAGTTTTGATTTTGAAACAGGGTCTTGCTAAATTGCTGGCACAGACTTGGAACTCAATCCTCTTGCCTCAGTCTCTCAAGTTGCCAGGATTACAGGTGTGTGCCACAGTACTCAGCTATTCGTTCTACTTTTGATTAACATCTAGATTATTTCCACCTCAAGACAATAATGAGTATTGACAGTTAAAAAAAAAAAAAATTCCCGGGCTAGGGATGTGGCTCAAGCGGTAGCGCGCTCGCCTGGCATGCATTCGGCCCGGGTTCGATCCTCAGCACCACAAAGATGTTGTGTCTGCCGAAAACTAAAAAATAAATATTAAAACTCTCTCTCTCTCTCAAAATTCTCGATACACATACACAGAGGTGTTCTGCTCTTTTTTCCAGTTTTTTTTCCTTTCTTTAATGAATCTATTTTTCCATTAGTAGTCTATGAAAATTCCTACAGTCCCACTCTTTCACCACTTGGAATCATCAGTCTAATTCCAGCCATTATGATAGGTGTATAGTGGAATTCCACTATGGTTTTCACTTGTATTTTCCTGGTAACCATAGGCACCTGTTCATGAATACTGGCCACCTGGACACTATTTCTCTACAGTTTTTCCATTTCATCTATCGAACTGCAGTCTTTTTCTTACAAAGTTCTAGGAGTTTTTGTTTTTTGAAGCAATAGTCTAGATTGGAGCACCTAATTACACAAGTAGCTTTCCTTGTCACACTCTTAATGATGTTCCTTGAAAACAGAAGTTCTTCAATTTTTTTTCAACATTTGCTTTATTTAGAACTTTGGTATAACGAAAAAAAAAATCTCTTAAACAGACACCAAAGTCATGAAGAAATTCCAAGTAATATCTTTTAGAATTTSGACATGACCTTTCACGTCTAGATTGGCAATCTATTTCGATTTTGTATACATGTAGGGTAAGAATCAAGTTTCATACTCCCTCCAGTAGATACCCAATTTTGATTGAGAACCAGTTATTGAAAAGGCTAACACTGGAGCTGCAGTAGTGGCTCAGTGGGAGAGCACTTGCCTGGCATGTGTGAGGCCCTGGGTTTGAGTCTCAGCAAGGCATATAAGTAAATAAAATAAAGGTCCATTGAAAAAAATAAAGGTCCACTAAAAAAATCAATCAGTCAGTCAATCAATAAAAGGTTAACATTCTCCACTGCTCTGCAATGCCACTTTATCACAAATCATGTACCCACCTATGTGTAGACTTATTTTTTTGACGTTATATTCAGTTCTACTGGTACAGACATTCCTAAACCTCTTTGTTCAAGAACCACTATCTAAATCACAATAGCTTTAGAAGTTTTAATATCCAATACAGAATTTTGTTGTTCTTCAAGTACATTTTGACTTTTTGTAGCCATATAAGTTTCAAAATCAACTCCAAATCTTCCAAAACAAAGCCACATTGGACATCTAGTTGGAACAGTGCTGCCCAACAGAACAGTCTGCAACCATACATTTATATGCCCTATTAATATAGCTAACTGAGCCATATGTGGCTTCTAAACACTTGAACAGTTTTAGTTTTTCCTCCTTCTTCTTTCGTGGTTCTGGGGATTGAACCCGGGGCCTTGTGCATGCAAGGCAAGCAAGCACTCTACCAACTGAGTAGATCCCCAGCCCCCGTTTTCATTCTTTACCTTGCCTTTTTCCACCTGATGCAAGCTCCACTCTGATGATGAATACAGAACTCATAGGTTCCATGTCTTATTTCCTATCTCAGAAAGAAAGCTTTCAAAAGTTTCCTAGTATAATGATCAGATTAACAAAGTTCCCCTTCTACTCATAGTTTTCCAAGACTTTTTCCTCATGAATGGATACTGAATTTATTAAATCCCTTTCCTGCATCTATTAAAATGACAAGGCTTTTCAGATTTACTGTTAAGGTGGTAACTAACACTGATTTCTGGATGTTAAACAAACTTTGCAATCCTGGGCTGCATGCTTTGGTCATGATTATATTCTGGTGGCAGATTCACTGGTAGAATCCTCTAAATCTTGCCGAGCACGGTGGCACATGCCTGTAATCCCAGTGGCTCTGGAGGCTGAGACAGGAGGATCCGGAGCTCAAAGCCAGTTTCAACAAAGCAAGGCGCTGAGGCAACTCAGTGAGACACTGTCTCTAAATAAAACACAAAAAAGAGCTGGGGATATGGCTCAGTGGTTGAGCGCCCCTGAGTTCAATCCAGGTACAGAAAAAACCCAAAACAACAACAACAAAAACCCTCTAAACTTTAAGTTTTCTCTGTGAGCAGGATATTCCCCCTTCACCTCATGATTGGCTAGGAAGGCTTTCTCTTTGTTATCAGCTTCACCAAAGTTTTATTAATTGTATTAAGTATTCTCTCTTTAAATGTGTTTTA